TCAAGATATCAAGGTTCACCTGCATGTAATTACCTTAATTGCTTGAACATTTTGCAGGTTTTTATGCCCATCACATAAAATCACCAACACCAATTCCACCAGGAATTCTTTCCCACACCATCAGCAGTGCCATCATCAAGCAGCAGCAGCAGCAGTAAACAAGAAGGGACATGTGCTTGTATATATACAAGAGAAAGCACACGTTTCTCTCGATCCCATCACCCAAGAACCCCCAGAAGAAGAAGAAGAAGACTGGGAATTGGTTACATCACATCCTCTTTCACTTTCTCCTTGTGCATGGTCATCCTTGCAGCCAGTTATGAACCACCACCACCAGCAGCAGTCTTATTCCACACTCTTTACCTTTTTCTCGACATCTCACAGTGAGAAATATTTATGAGCCTGCTGCTTAAATATTACTGGACCTAAAAAAAAATTTGAATCGAGTTGAAAAGTGACACCGTGTGTTTTTCATTTATAAAGTTGGGATATTTGAAACCTTATTATTGCAGTTGAACCTCAGAAAGTCAAATAACTTTATCCCTGTAAGTTAATGTTTTTCTATAGTCCTTATATAATTCAGTATATGAATTCCCTTTACTATGAAGACCTCATTAACTCAAAGGTTTTCCCTCACCTCAAACCTCCAAAACTAAAATTTTCTGTAGTAGAGGTATTTTGCCTATTATTTCATTGGCACATCAGGGAAAAGCATTAAAAATTTAGCTTGGTGGGTTTTGAAAGGAACTGAAAGAATATAATAATTGGCCAGATGAACCCTTGCCTACAAATTAAGCATCCTTGCTGTGAACTCATTTTAGATGCAATTAAAATTTCCTGTAGATTTTCTTTCTTTTCTCCAACAAAACTCCTTGTTTCCCTAACTGGAATTTTTCTGTTGGTCCCTTGAAATTTGACTTGAAGAGGTTTGACTGTACATATGTTGCAAAATGGGAGACTTCTATTGAACTGGGGTCCATTTTTTTGTGGCTTATATTTGCAGAACACAGGGGTGTGTGTCAAATATTTTTTGCTGTGTCCAGATAATTTTGGAGCATATAATATGTTCTGGAATATTTGCTGGAACACCTCGGTGAGTGTAAATTGATTTTTTTCGGAATTCATGTCAAATAAAAGTGCACTTATTGTCTTGAGGTCAATATTGTAAATATATAGGCCTCAATAAGGTATAGCAAAATACATGCATATTATTTTGGAGGCTTATATGTATAAGAAACTTTTTTCAAGACTTATATTCTGTATGTATATGCTGTAGATCTTTTCTTTAAAGAAATAAATATACATCAAAATTGAAAAACATTTATTGCATTATTATTGTTGTTGGTTTTTTAATCAGGCTGGCAAAAACTGCTGGATGTCCACCTTGTTGTGTTTAATGACTGCCATTATGTTGCTGATGCCAGTGACTCATCTGCCATTATCAGTGGAAGCTGCCAAGGGACGTGACAAGAAGATTTACAAGCTATACCCTTACTATTGGAAGTAAGTACTGTAATTTGAATATTAAAAAAACACCAAGTGTCAAAAATTATTATTAAGACAATTTAACTTCCTTGGAAACTACCAAAAATTAGTTTTGGGAGTTTAATTGAGTTGAGGAAGCTGTACTATTTTAGCCTTTTGAAGAAGAAGAATAAAAACAGGATCAAGTTAAAATTATTAATTTTTTGGCACAAAACTGCTTTTTGAATGTATATACATCAGATTGTACAATATGCTGAAATTGGATTTATGTAATAAGGGATGATTATATGTGTCCAATGAGTCTTTCACTCTCCAAAAACATAAAGTTACATTTTTATAGATTTTCCTATTTACTTTTATTGGTCACAAAAATAATAGCTAAAATCCTTTCAAAAAATTCAGAGTTATAAATAAATTTATGAATGGAGTTTTGAGGTGGAAAACCTTTGATTTTAGGGAGTATTTTTTACACTTTTTTCAAGGAAATTCAAACAGGGATTTGAAAAAAATCGCCATATATAGAGTTATTTGACCTATTACGTAAAGGTTTTAGTTACTGAGGTGCTAATGAACTTTGGGATGAATTTTGCAGATCAAACACACGGTTCCCGTATTATGACAAGTATGGCCGCGGGAAACTTTTGTATGGCTTCGGAGGACCTGAATTGTACGAATACACTGCATTCAAGGCCATTCGTGGTTACTACAGAAAATGAGGACACTGAAATTTTTTTTAGCCGAAATGCTCTGATATGTAATTTAATACCCCCCCCCCTCTTAAACAGCATATTTTATTATAGAAAAGAATCAAAAATGAAAGGCATGGATTACAATGTGGGCAGTTCTCAATCAATTGCTGGTGTTGAATATACAACATCTTTGTCAACATAAATTGTTTTGAGGTTTTGTATTTATGGAAAACAAATAATATACAGGTGGAATCTCTCTACAATGATCTTGTCTGCAATTATTTTCTTTTTATCTGTGATGGATTTTGATTTGGTCCCATATGTAGGGTTGTCATCTCCACATGTTATATGGGTTATCTACAATGAAATTCTCTCTACAACGAATTTTTTATCTGGTCCCTTGAAATTTGTTGTATAGAGAAGTCCACCTGTGTATATATATGGAAACTTGGAAAAGAGACATGATTTTCAGTGTATGTGCTGAACTTGTGTACGAAAAATGAATTTAAATATTTGGAATGAGTTGCATTCATTTTTATTTTGTAACATATATGTATGACAAAGGAGGGTGTATGTATATGTACCTTTCCTAACCACATTCACATGCTCTCCATAATTGTGAAAATGTCAAGACAAGGACAACAAACAAACTTTGCTCTTGAAAACGAAATTTTAAAATGTTCAAATCTTTTTAAATTATAGGTAATTTGATTGCACTTGAAAATAAAATAAATAGACCAACAAATTGAGAATTTTAGTAGCTATCAGCATAGGATTTTGGAATTTTTTTTTTGTGTCATTATATATAGCATGAGCAAAACATTTGTTTTTCCATTTTTCGACCAGAGAAAACAAAAAAAAACCGATGTTCTCTTATTTCTTTAAAAATATCCTGTCAAGCTTTCCAATTCTTACAGAGAAAGTTTGACACAATACTGTACATAAATTCATAGTCTGCATGCCTTCATGGTAGGGTAGTACAGTATAGGACAGGATTTATCTGTTAGGCTCTTTCAGATCTGGGTAGGGAAAATTGAACCACACATGTCTTCGCACTTGTGTAACGTGAAGCATTCGCGGGTTTCGAGATGGAGAATTCGAGTAACTTTTATTTGGACAATTGCTTGAGGAGGAATGGTTCTGTAAGTTATTTTGATGCTAAGGGTGATGTGCTCTGTCCAACACGATTGGATGCAATACATCGTGAATTATTTTCCATGGCAATGTTGCCCTTGTGACTGAAGATAGGCCGAGTTTTTGACTGAACCATTGTGCGAAGTGTCTGTTGACTGTGTTGAGTCGCGGGAGCGGTTCTGCGACATAATGCGCTAATTCGTTGCATGCATTTTCTCCTTGTGACGTAATCATTGTACATGTCTTCGGCTGCAAGTTGCTTTTGACTGATCTTTCGTTGTAATCCTTACGCAAAATTCGATCATGTGAAGTTCATTCCCGCAGTAGGTCTATCGCACGCGTAAAATGATGAAGGAAGAGCCCGATCCCGAGGCATCGATCCATATTTCGGGGAAACGCATCACTGCGGAAATGAACGCAGCCCTTGCCCCTGCTGATGAAGAATTCCGTGGGCTAGACATACCGAGATCACCATCCCGGGTAACGGACTTTCTCTCATCGGATGCGTCTTTTCGGAAGAAACTTGGATTCATTCTAAATCACCATTATTTCCATGTGAGTCACTGAATCTGTGATACTCCGTACCCTCTTGTGATTCGTTTTTTCATCTTGTGTTTGTAGATAGTGGTGGTGATCTTGGTCATTCTTGATATAATATTCGTCGCCGCCGAGCTCTTAATAGATCTGAAGATCTTAGCCTCGCACGAAGAAGCTCACGATGCTTCTGATGTTTTTCACTACTTGAGCATCAGCGTACTGTGCATTTTCCTAGTCGAATACACTCTCAAACTGTTCGTGATGCGGCTATCATTCTTCAAGCACTGCATGGAAATCTTTGATTTGATCGTCATCATCGTTTCCCTGATTTTGGAAATCTTGTTCAGACATTCTCACTCTGCCTCGACTGGTACCGGTCTTCTGGTTGTTCTTCGTTTGTGGAGAGTTACCCGCATCGTTAACGGTAATTCGTGAGCCTGTCCTTCTTTGGATGCTAATTTTTTGCCAGTACATTGTTAAAAAGAAAGCGTCAATGATTCAACAGAGTTTTTTGAAATTTTGCTGTACCGTATACCCTTCTGCACCTATTACGTTATCAATGAAATTCGCTGTGGTGATGTTCGACGTATTCTCCATTGAATTCAGTGCAATTTTATATCCTGCATTCATTAATTTATGTAACGATGAACAACTGTGGAATTATCAGTATTCCTGGCTGCAAGCTTGAATTTCTTGATGAGCGTTAGTGTAAGATTTCCCAAAAAAAGTTGACGAATCCTGTGATTTATGCTTGAATGATTTGACCTGTGTGAACTGATGGTGGTGTATATTTTCATTCACTAGGCATCGTATTGTCCGTGAAAATCCATGCAAATGAGAAATTGAAAGCGGAACGGGAAGAAAGGAAACACTTGGAGGATGAGCTGGAGAAGATGAAAGAGCGGAATGATCAGCTCGAAAGGGACCTCAACTCGTTGAATCTCGCGGTGCAGAAAATTCTAACTTCTTCTCAATCGGCGAGTCTCAACAATATTCTGAAGCAGCAGGGGAAAAAGAACAATAACGAGTGAACAAAAATTGTTTCAGCAAAAGTGACAAGTGTGTGATGCTAAAAAAAAAAAAAAAAAAAACCTTGGATCGCTTTAGAAAGCTTGGAAAAGAAGTCTTCGGAACATGATTATCGCGTGCTCTGAAAACGAAGGCTGTTGTTGCATATTAGTCATTTTGGAGGTGTAATCTTCGCGCGGAATCGGTGATATTTTAATGCCTTGATCTTGCGGAATTCTGCGTGAAATTGCGTTAACTTTGCATGCGTCGTTTTCAAGCTTCTGAGATTCTTACATTTACGAAATGTTTGTAAGCGTATATTTATTGCAATTTGTGAAAGCTGAGCCTAGTCATGTGTATTGAAATACTGTACTTTGCAACATTGCTATGGGGTGTCCAAAAAATTTACTGGTAAGTGAAAATTTTGTGTTCCCGAATCAAAATTTGTTCCAATTTACGTTGATTTTTGTTTGATGTGTCTCAATCAGTTGAAATTGCATTCGAATTTTCAATTTACTCTTTCTAATTCCAAATGTATTTTATGTGCCCATGTGCATTGATACAGTGATTTTTTATTTGGATTGAGCCTAAATTTTCTTCAGAAGTGTACGTAATCTATCCGTTGCTAACATTTCCGCGGAACAGTGAATTTTGGCACACCCTTTACTGATTTCGAAGCGTATTGCCTCTTGCTTTCGGAATTTTTGTCAATTTGGAAGAGCTTGAATGCAGATTTGAGCTTCATTCGAGTTTTTGTTATTTCTGATTACGTGTTTCCTCTGTGTTGAGATTTTGTGCTGTGGGTGCTACAAAAGAGCAAGAGTCAATAACCTAACTCAACTGATGAGATTTTCTTTTTTGATATTTGCTCTTTCGTACGATTATTATTTTTTGTATTCCTGCGTTAATCTGTGAGTGATGTATAATTGATACGTGTTTTTCAGACATGACTGAAGTACAGATATCGTCTTACGACGATCGTGACGATGATGACGAAAACTCGTGTTTTGTGGGGTGTCGAGAACTTTTTGACAGTTATAAATACGAAGTGAGTATTTTTGCGCTTGATGAACGCTTGAAGTAAGCTTTATTTTAGTCCAAAGTCAACTTCGGCGGTTATTTGAAAAATCGCAACTTTCCACTGTTCGTGTAGAATTAATTTGTTTTTTTGCATGTGACAATGAAAGGACGAGAAGAAGAATTGAAAAAAATTATTTGAGAAGAAATGAGTTGAATTACTACATGACTGCTGATTTTCAGTTGTCGTACTTGGTGAAATATTCTTCAAAAATTGTGCAGTATTTCTCACATCTTCACGAATAAAAGATTTGAGCAAAAATTATATTCGAAAGCAAGTGATGAACATTAACACGAATGCAAATTTTTAGCTGTCGTAGTTTGTGAAATATTATTCAAAAATCGTCGAAAATTGTATTTCTCGCGTCATCTCCTCGTCTTGTTCGTGAAAGTCATCGTTTTTCTTTATAGGGTGCTGTGATAATCCTGACGCTGTGTGACATGGTTTTCATTATTCTCGAGCTGATCGTCAATTCCAAGTGGTTCGAGGAATACCCGGCGTCTCAAACCTTGGCAAACGTGTTGCACGTCTTCATCATTATTGTATTGGTCTTGTTCCTGTTGGAATCTTTTGTGAAAATGTGGCTGTACAGACTGAAGCTGTTTTGTAAATGGGCGGATTTGGCAGAGGTCCTGGTTGTGACTGCCGCAGCCATCACGGAACTGGTGTATTATCACTCGTTTGCAGGGAAATCCGGCTTTGAAGCCATTGTTATCGTGAGGTTGTGGAGAATATTGAGACTGATTGCAGGTAAGCTGTGTTTGTGTGTGGTGAAACTAATGTTCAGTGTACTGTATTTCCTTTTTTTTTTTTTGTAGGATAAACAGAAGGGAAATGTCACTGAATTTTTTCTTTTAGAATGAGAAAAATCTTTTGATTGGTCTAAACTTGAGTTGATCCAACTTTTTAATTTTATAGTTCAAATTGTTTGAAGTGATATTTGGGTTAAAATTTGGTCAATATGATTTTAGCTTCCAAAACATATCAAGTTGAATCTTTATTGGTTTTCTCTCTCCTGTGTCAAGAAAATAATAGTCAAAAGGCCTCAAGAAAATGTGAGTTATGGAGGTTTGAGAGGGAACATCTTTGAGTTAGGGAGGTTCTTAATGCACTGTTTCTTGGGGAATTCAGACAGGGAGTTGAAAAAATTTGTTTTTGGGAAGTTTGAGTAATTTTAGTTCAACTGTGCCAGGAAAATGTGCTTTGAAGGTATTCCCTTCATTTTGGATGAAATAGTGGGAAAACTCAAGAACAAACCTTCAAATTTACAGAAGAAGGAAAAAATATCATTAGTGCTGTAATAAAATTGAAGCACTTACTGTCTTCCTGAAATTATTTCCAGATCAAGAGAAAAAATGAGTACAGTTCAACCTCTCTAAGTAAAATGTTAAGGATCTCTGAAATTTTTTTTTACCTTGAGAGTATTTTAGTAAGGAAATTCGACCACTTGAGTAGGTTAATCAATGGAAATTATTTTCTTGCCAAATTATTAGAACTGTTCATTATTCACACATATCCTGAACTAAAGGGAAAAGGCTTTAATCCCTCCGTGACAAAACTATTTACAATACATCCTATTTTCAAAGGTGCTCTAAAATGTAGTTCCAATTTAATGTCAAGAAGCCTTTAAATTTTTACTGGCCTTTGACCTGAATAGTTTTGAGTTGGTGGATTAAATTGCATTAGACTTGAGGGAATAGGCCCTGGATTCCCTCAGAATTAAAATTCATAGGTTTGCAACCTCTGCAATGGACAATTTAAGACTTGGCAGTTTGAGACAGGGTCAATATGAGTCAAGGTCATTTAGGGACTGCAAAAATAAGTTGTAACCTTCAATTAAATCTTCTCCTTCATTCTTTATTTGAGCATCTCTTTCAAAACCTGTATAACTTTTAAGCTGTCACATATTCTTTAACGCATATGTAATAACATTTTTCAAATTGGAGCAAGTGAGGAATGAAATCAAATAATTTTTTAAAATCTTTTGTATCAGATTCAGATATGAGAGAAAAACTCAGAATATTAATTTTTTCATCCATATGAACTGCTTTGTGTTTTAAAATTCACAGTAAATTAAGATGAAAAGTAGAGTTCTGATCGGTTTGAAAGTATAAAAAATATAATTATTGGAAGAAGTTCAAATTTTCAAGTACCTGCCCATTCAACCCACATTGCTTTATGGTTGTCCAAATGTTTCTGTTTCGAAATGTCTCAAAAAGTTTCTTTCTTGAATAGTCCCTGTCTTAAGTTACTCCTAATACTGTTCACTGTATTTGTGAAAATAACCGCTGATGACTTAAGTGAAGATGGCCCAGGAATTAAATTCAGTGTTCAATTTTCTCCTCAGGTATTAGACGGGAGGTTGAAAGCAAAGCGACTCTCAAAGTGAAGCAGCATCGGAAAATGCGCGAAAACGCAGAGAAAGAATGCGTTGCGGCGCAAGAAGAATGCGACCTATTGCGACATCAAAAGGAAACTCTGATCAAAGTGATTATGGAAGTGACTGACAAGACTGAAAGTGAAATTTTGATGCTGCTTCGAGATGGATCCGTCCCCGTCGGTTGGACAGTGAATTAAATCGTGAGAAAGAACCGAGACGAGATTGGAAAAAGTGCCGATATTTATAAGACTCGCCGAAAGACGCTCAAAGGAGAATCCGAATCACGTCCCTGAGGATCGTATTTGCCAAAAAAAAGAGTATATTGTGCTGTTAATTTTTTTTTTTACCCCGTGTATTCAGTGAAACTCAAAGTACGTTGCTCAAATACGTATTTTAGCCGCCGGTTGCATTTCGTGGTTGAAACAGGGATGATTTTTTATACGAAGGAGTGTGGCTTTTTTTTCCCTGTAAGAAATAATTCAATGGTGCTATTGTGAAGCTTACTTATTGATTCGGTATTTATGGAATTCATGACATGAACGAGGTTTATCGCGTATTCGAAATGATTAATTCAGTAGTACATACCACAAAAGGCGCTGCATATCTTCACTGCTTCCTTTGAAGGCATATTATGAGTGTGTTGAAGCTTCTCTTCTGCTTGCATACGTTGTTGAAAATGTCACATCAGCATGAATTAATGCTAAAGAAAGGTCATCATCATCTAAATGTTGGTTACAAAGATTTTTGGTTGTGTCCTGAATGTGGGGAAATTTGTGGAATGGTAGAAACGCTCTGATTGAAGTGATCTGACATTTTAATGACTCATTCGTTTATGAAATTGATGGATTGGACTTCTAGTTTATAAAATGAACTGTTTGGGTAGAGCTACAATTAGATTCTGCCAACTAACTTTTAGTAGATCATGTAAGCACAGGTGTTTTTTAATGAAGTGTAATTTTTGGAGCAGGAAACTTATGGACTAGTCACACTTTCCCCCAGAACACTGCTAAACCTCTACTTTTTTGAAAATTGTATCCCTGCCTGAACAAAGAGGTGTACCTGTTGACTTGAGTGAATACAGTGTAGTGGTGCCTTGCCTAACAACCACAATTTGTTCTTGCATAGTGGTTGATAGGTGGAACATTTGTAAGGTGGGTCACATTTTCCTTTAAGGATTAATGTAGAACCCATTAATTAGTTCCTGTGAAATAAAAAATCTGGCAGAAAAATATAAAAATTCTGCTGAATTTTCAAATAAAACAAATACTTAAAATACTGCTATAATTCATTCAAATGCTTTTCCTTGTTAAATTACCTTGATCTGTTTCAAAAATAACCTGCAAAATTAATGGCAACTGTATTGCATGCATATGCAACATCTATGAGCAAAGCAGGAATCTCTCAGTCTTGTGTAACTCTNACACTGCTAAACCTCTACTTTTTTGAAAATTGTATCCCTGCCTGAACAAAGAGGTGTACCTGTTGACTTGAGTGAATACAGTGTAGTGGTGCCTTGCCTAACAACCACAATTTGTTCTTGCATAGTGGTTGATAGGTGGAACATTTGTAAGGTGGGTCACATTTTCCTTTAAGGATTAATGTAGAACCCATTAATTAGTTCCTGTGAAATAAAAAATCTGGCAGAAAAATATAAAAATTTTGCTGAATTTTCAAATAAAACAAATACTTAAAATACTGCTATAATTCATTCAAATGCTTTTCCTTGTTAAATTACCTTGATCTGTTTCAAAAATAACCTGCAAAATTAATAGCAACTGTATTGCATGCATATGCAACATCTATGAGCAAAGCAGGAGTCTCTCAGTCTTGTGTAACTCTGCATAGATGTCACTTTTGCATGATGTACTTGAAGCAACCGAATATCACCAATCACAATTTCCTTCCATTCTTCTCACTTTCCCTCAATAAAAATGCTTGATGAACAACCATTTTTTATGAGGGTAAGAAACAACAGCATTGATAATTTTCTTCTTCTAAATTTTCAAGTGCAATGGAAGGCCAGAAAACATTTGCTAGGCAGGTCATTGATGGTCATCAGGCAAGGAATTTTCTTGAGGTTTTCAGAGGTCATTAGGCAATGCGATTGTTAGGCGAGGCATCAGTGAAATTTTGTCACAACAAGAGGAAAAATAAATAAAAGCCCAATGCGACGGATGACGCACCTGCCTCCATAATAGATATGGAAACAAAAAATTGTTTCCATCATTCCAGCGCATTTCATCCAAGAACAACAACAACAATAAGGAAGGTTCCCCGACTGGAGCGTTTCAGAGGGCGGACAAAAGGACGCCGGAGAACTGGGAGTAAATGTAGGTGCGGTCAGTGTGCGCGTAGCCGCCGTCGAGATAGGAATCCACTTGATCCCCGGCCTCGAGTTCCAAAAGAACCGTCTGGGCGATGGAGTTGCCGAAGTCCATGTAGGCGTAGGTGGAACTCACGCGGACGCCGTTTTTGCGCAGAGAGACCAGCGTGATGTCGGATTGGCCGCCGAGGTTGTGAGCGGTGAACAAGTAGACGCCGGCGACTGGAGCGGTGAACACTCCGACGCGGGTGTCGATGGCGCCGCCGATGTTCAAGTGCTCTGCCTGGTACGGGATCACAGAGTCCAGGAGGTCGTAGTCGATGGTGCGGTAGATGCTGAAAGCCACCACTGTTTCTGCTGGGCAGAGATCATTGAAGGGCACAGCACACACCCCCACATTATGAATAACTCAGGGAAAACAAAATTTGCATTTGAAAAAGTGGTGACTAGCAAAACAACATTTTTGAAATGAGAAAATAGTACAGTATTTGGAATTGAAAAGATTGAATCACTTTTGAATAAAGAGGACAGCAATCAGCCGGGCTATGGCCAGGTGCTATTGACACCCTACCCAGTGTAAAGTTGGTATATTTGACAAAAAGCAAGGATTTCAAAGCATATCAATTTTAATGAGACTTAAAACATCTTTTGCGTTAGACTGCCAAAAAGCAACTGATGATGAGACAGAAAAAGAAGCAGCATTTAAAACCCTTTCCTCCCAAAATTTTGTCCCAGAGGATTGAATTATCCCAGGAAATCCTACAGAAACAGGAAAACCCTTGTGGGAACTCAAGGTTGAACTTGGATTCCATGAAATTCCTACCAGATTTTAGCCCTCTTTCCATGGTCTAACAATTCTTCAAAATTTGTGTCTTTCACATTTATTCATTATCTTACTCACTTTTTCTAATTTCCAACAAAAAACACACCTGGATTCTCTCCAACACAAAATTCAGGGACCAGACATTTTTTTTTTTGGTGTTGCAGAGAACCCCTATATGACACTCCTGTGGCAAAGCCTGGATATTTTTGAAAAATTGTGTGCTCAAGAGCAATAAAATCAAAAAGATAACTGAAAACCATGGCCTAAGTTGGGAAAAAGTCTAATATATATTTTTTTTTTCTCTGGCAGCAGAAGATTTTTGCTGAAAAATAAGCGCTGGTGGCATTTTTCTTGCTCTTGCATAACATTAGCATGAAGATTTTTGAAAACAAAAGGATTCACTCTTCCCAAATTTTTGCCAACACAGCCCAAACACATTTGACCACTGTCAGTCAAGCTGAAATTCGCGCTTGCATGCATGCAAAAAAATCCCAACTTTACCATGGGATGGAACGGAGGCTCCCACTAATACTGTCCAAGGGATAAGATGGGTAAAGAACCCTACAGCATGGCCTATAGCGTTTTGCAGTACAGTATAGATTCCATGATTAAAAAATACAAGTTGATTATTGATAAGAATTTCTTACTGTTTCAAACTTGACCATTGATGAACTAATTTTCTCAAGGGGAATTTTTTTTCTGGCACATAGTTAGTGCCTTGGAATTGAAACAAACCATTGTTCTGCTTCATCTCAACATCTTCAAGCCTTGACAGAAGACCTTCCTGTTGCAATTTCAGCTGCTTCTCTGATTTCCTGATGACATCCATCTGAAGGTGCAAAGCCCTGTTTTGAGCAAGGACCTTTGTGTTCTCCATTTCCAGCTTCCTCAGCCGAGCTTCAATCTCCTCCAATTTTGTCTGAGAACAAATGAAAATGACCAAAAGCCGCCAACACCCCAAAAATAATCATCAGCCTTATACTCACATCAGCTGAGACCCCAGCTGCAAATAATAAAGCTGATAAAATTGCGCAAAGCTGCATTATTCTGACGATTGGCTGAATATGTACTCTATAGAAAAAATAAATCTCAGAATAAGGGCTATCTGGTTTTGAAGCGATCAGTGTAATAGTCTATTGCATTATTTTGAAATAATTTCAACATCTTTTTGAGGTAAGTCAGTAGGGTAATTTTGCGGCTCTTACTATATAGCACCCACGCATATAAATAAAACGCAGGCAGAATTAACTCCCTGAAGCAGGTAAAGCCTGCAAAGATGGCCAACACTCTTGTGGCTATACAGAAATACAGTATTATGATGTTGGCATAAGTTGATAGATAAGTAAATTTTGCTTTGAATGATGAACCATTATGCTTCCCTACTGAATCTGAAAATTGAAAGCAAACTGTGAACCATGTGCAAACAATTTAATTTTCTTCAAAAATAATAACCCGACTTTTACTTTTGAGTTATGGAGAAGTTTTTGTCACTGCACAAGTATTTGCAGGCCTTGTACTGAATCCAATTAACTACAATAAAATATTTCCATACTTATCTCTCAAAATTTTTTCCATTATAGAAACTTGCTAAGGGTTCAGACTTTGTTTGAAGGAACAATTTTCAAAAGCTCTTTCAAACAACTGATTGTTCACCCTTGATCTCAGCAGAAAGCTGTTTGCCCTGATTCCCTGCAGTCATGGAGATTATTTGGTAGTTGCAGAAGAATGGAAAACTTGGCACTGAGGGTACTTTAACGTACAATGTTTCATAGATTGTTCACCCTTGATCTCAGCAGAAAGCTGTTTGCCCTGATTCCCTGCAGTCATGGAGATTATTTGGTAGTTGCAGAAGAATGGAAAACTTGGCACTGAGGGTACTTCAACGTACAATGCTTTATGTTCCTTTTATTTGTCAAAAAGCTCTTCTGGAGAGTGAATGTGGAGGCACTCCGAATTTTACAGAGAACAGATTGATCAGCTCATATGATTAACAGTTAAGTTGAACTCAGTTAACTTGAACCTCCCCACATGTATCAAGCACATCACCATGTCAACATTTTTTAAAGTACCTGTCTGAATTCCCTTAAAAACAATTCATGAAAAACCTTTGTAACTCAACAGCTTTCCCTCTCAAACATATGTAACTGAATTTCAAACTAACTATGTAACTGAGGCCTTCTTGCAATTATTTTATTGACGCATAAAATAGAAAAGGAATAAAAAGAAGTAACAAGTGTGTTTTGAAACAAAATGGAAGACAAATGGCAAAAATGAACCCTTGCCTCCAAGTTCAGCATTCCATAAATTCATGAAAGAAGCAGTTTCAGGCCCAGAATATCACATTTTACATTTTCCTGCAATAAAAATGCTTGTCACCCTATCTCAAAACATCCCTAACTCAAATTTGCTTTTACTGGCCCTTTGAAATTTGACTTGAAGATGTTCATTGCATAATAGTTGAAAATTTGATTCCTTCATTTTCACTGTGGAAATAAAAAAAAACATAGCCCAAGAATCTTAAGATACCAGTACAGTACAGAATGTTGATTCCCTATGCTGATAAAATATTGCACTCAAGAATCCTTCACAATGTAACACCAGGATCTTTCCTAAAACACGTCATGGTCCTTACAGAAACTGAACAGTTCGTAAAAAGTTTTGCTTTAAATAATCAACACGTCAATGAATAATCTCACCATCACACGTGCAAAAATTCTCAAATCCCCATGATATTTCCAAAACACGCTGAATCATGCAGATAACACAGTCCGGAACCCTTCAAAGCCAGTGAAAACAACTCTGACATGGATAACATTTGAGATCCTTTCATGCCAATACCGTTTTCTGCTGACGCGGAAATGCAAGTACAGTACAGTAAAACAAAACTCGCAATATTCAAAATACGACGCACAAATTCTTTTGCGAAACGTTCTCTTCTCACTGATTGAAATTTAAAATGTCAAAGGGAAAGCTCTCGGCTTCTCCTTCATTTTCTTCTTCCGAACGGACCCAATCGCTTGGAATTTCCACAAAATCTGTCACTTCTTCCACATTCTGGCAATACAAGCGTCCCCAAAACGTCGAACCTAGGATGTAAGAGAACTTTTAAAGAATACTTACACCGTAACTACCATAATTCACAATAACTGGGCTCTTCTGATATTAAAAAAAAAAACTTTACCGCTGCCAAAAAGATTTACAAACAATATCCTCTTTCTCATTCAACCAATAAAAATTGCACAATTTACTGTAAGCTAATCAAAAATAATTTTACAGCAGAGGAAATCAGACCCACTGAAAATGATTGAAGAAAACTTTTAAAAATTTGACAATAACACTATACAATTGGAACTCTCAAAAAGTTTTGTATTTTTCATTTATTTTTACAAAAATAATCATAAAAAGGCCACATGGTTTCAGAAAGATTATACTTCACTCCAAACAGTAGCAAAATTGCTATTTGTTGACTCTCTTGACACATTTTTAGCACACTGTGAGATGAGTGGAAAAACTCTGACAATAAGAGGCAATTTAATTATAAACATTCAGTGTACTGAAAAAATGTGCTTTAAAATATCAAGTACTGTACAACATTTCATTAGGTTTGAGTAGTTATTTGGCTCAGCTCAGTTAGGTAGAAAGCTAACACCAATTATGTTGTCATTTTGCATAAAAAAAACTTTGCTGAAAAAATTAACAAAAAATCTAAGGCGTCAACAACGCAGTGCAACGTCTTCACTTGCATATTAGGAAGAAAGTCATGTATATTCCACGTCACAAACAGATAGAAAATGCAGCTTGCTCTCAAGCTCAAACTTCAAGTTTCAGAAAAAAGTAAAACCCAAAATCTATAACACTGTATTTTTTGAAAGTCAAGAGATAATTCTGCAAACAATAAGATCTCACCTTCAATACCGCTTTTGTCATGACTGGACGTCTGATGCTGGAAAAGCAGACACTTCGCAGCAACAATTAACGCGTTCTTTGGCCTAAAATGCATCAAGATCTTCTGCATCGCCATTCTTTTCTTGGCTGCAAACTCGCTGCTTCCCTCCAATACCTGCAAAATTTGTTGCCAAAATTAAATTGACACCTGATATGGATAAATAAATAAAAAATCCTCAATTGTTTTACAATAGAACTACGCAGGAATCACAAGACTTTGTAGATAACTGCGTTGAACACAGAAACTTTTTACATTTGCAAATTAATCTTTACACCCTTTCAAAAATGAGTAGCTTAGTCTCGTAAATGCGGTTCACTGAAACAAAGCATTTACGTTCTTTTGCCACTTTTTCAACACCAGGTAATCAAGCAAATGTCCAACACACACTCACCGAAGGAACAGGGACCGGGTTCCGATGAGAGAAGTGAAACACTCTCACATTCCTCACAAACGTCTTGAAATCCTCCACAAACCCTCCTCTGATGCCCAACAATTGCAACACCTGCTCATTCTTTGCCTCAAGCACAAAATTGCTACAAGTCCCATCGCTCACCACAAACTTTCCTGAAGCCGTCAAGACCCACCCAGAATCCAGACAAGTATCACAATTTGGTCCTTCAAGACTCTCATCTGGCACAGGTCGACTACACGAGTCACACGTGGCTTCAAACTCCACAGGGAACCAGGGTTTGAAAGAAATCAACAAAAACCTGACACACGCAAGTTTTTCGGGTAGAAGTCGACTCAGAGACACCAAAGGCCACAACGATTCCGAACGAGACACTTTTGGACCAACAAAGAAATCACTCATGGCAGTAGCAACATAGTAATGATTCCCTGACCCACTCGTCTTCTTCACCAAGTTACTGATCCTGACTTTCATCCCCGGTAATACACCCAGAGGATTTCCAACATGCGAAGCTGCAATATCACAGTAGACACTGGTTTTCAACCCACTCGTGGCCAAAGTCACGCGCAGATTCACACAGTTGTTCTTCTTGTTCCGGTACACGTCGTCTATTACACCTTCGAAGGATCCATCCAGGTTTGGTCTGGATTCGTGCTTCAATATCTGATTGCTACCGGATCCATGAGTGATTCTCACACCGTGTTGAGCGCGTGAAAGCCGCAAACACGCGTCACTTTTCATCCAATACACACTCGTGTTGGCACACAGGTATTGCCTAAAACCTTCTAGTCCGTTTGTCTACCACTAAACACTCGGACCCATGTTCATCCCTGCCTACCTCTCGTAAAGCAACGGAAGGTTCGTATTACTCTCGAAAGACACCGCATGAAACTGTAACCGTTCCACTTCTTCTGATGCTTTGACCATCACTTCCAAGAGGAACCCTTTCATGGAGGTGTTGGCGAAGTTCACGTGGAGTCTGCTTCTGCTCAAGACAACGGCTTTGTGATAAACATGATTTGCCAGCTGACACCTGGGTAAGCATCTGCAATGAAAGCCCAATCACGTCTGGTTAGGTGAGATCTTATTTGCTTTCTTGACATCAGTATGAATTACGTTGAAAATGGTGCACTGTACGTACTAAATTTTGAGGTAAGGTCTTCCATTTGGTCAACTTGGAAAGATGTTAAAAATCTTAAAATCAAGGGATACACTGGACGTGACTTGAGTTTCTGGTACGGGTAAATTTAAGTTGATTGAGCATTTAGCTAGGTTTGTCCGGTTTGGCTCAATTTTCCAATATCCACAAGTGGCTAAAGTGCACAGACAAAGTTCAAAGAAGCAAAGAAACTCACGAAACGATTTCTATATCACAGGGTTTAACAGCTATATAGACCGAGCTCTCGTCGTTGAACTTCTCATGAAAGACTTCAAAATTTCGGACGATGCAACACGCGCCAAGCCACGATATATTCGGCAGAACCGAGTTCTCTGTCTCCAGGAAAACGATGTAAACATGTCCAGAAGCATCCCTCAACAACGGACGAGCAGAGTTTGTACATGCACCAAGAACACCTAGAAGCGTTTGCACGGACTGTGTATCTATTTGCTCGAAACCCCACTCGGAGACGCGATCCCATGACCTCGCTTTTGCAATTTCGACAATATTTGGGAACAGCGTTGTTGGTTGACTATGGCAACTTATCACGTCTTCCAATTGTGATAATGCTGCCAGCGTTTCGGCAGGATTTTCAGTTCCTTGGCGAGGTTGAAACTTCAGTGACTTCAATCCACAACAGCCAGCAAGGATATCAAAGGCCATTCTGACCAGAAACTGCATTTCCGTCGGCTCATGTCTCACCAAAATCCCCAATTTATCTGCGATAATAGTCGCGTAACTCAGAAGCCATTCGTAGTGGCTTAGACAGCTCACACCCAAGGACACAATTATGTGATCAAACGCTTGGGTCCACGGGGATCTAACAGAATTCACAGTGAGCTTTTCAGGAACTTTCAGCACACTTGAATTGCTGCAAAATACTATCACTCCATCTGAAAAGTGCCTCACTTCTGGGTTCTCGATGATGAGCCAGTCGTTCAATTCGATTTCTGGAACGCTGATGCCAAGAAAGGCAAGCGTTGAATAGTTCACTGTGCAATGCGTTTCTTCTCCGAGGAGCTCTCGGCACGATTCATCAACCAGATCAGGAGGTTTCACCAAAAGTTTGCAAGTTGAAGCGTACTTGTGTACACTCACAACTCGTCCTTCGAGAGTAATCATCTGAAAAAAGGCGCCCTTTAAATTTTTCGAAGGCAGAATATTTACAAATTATTCAAGCAGATGTACATAATTGATTCTCACGCTACGCCGAATTTTCAAGGAAGTAAATCACCGTTGCTGACAAAGAAACGGGAGAACTACTGGCCTTCGAAAGTTCATGAATGACTATACAACTCAAAATAAGTCGGATTTCGGGGAGCCATCATGATAGGCCAAGTTGCCTCAACAATAATCACATTTCATCACGTCTCTCAATCGGATCCCAACTTCGCGGGCGTGTACAGAACAGAACCTCAACACGTTTAACGAGGCTCGATTCACCATGACGTTATGACAGGCAGTGCAAAGGTTCCAAAACATGCTCATTTCAGTAAGGGGTACACGAGTTTCTTTAGATGCATTTCTAAAATCTTCCTGCATTTGATTTTCAATTTTAATCCAGTATAGTCATAGGTATCTGACTTGGAGGAATGGAGGGAGCCAAACTTCTAGCTTCATCTACGAACAATAGCGGGTACTGCTTTTCGCGCGCGTTACTATAGTGACACCTTCACATTTTTCTGAAAAGAAGTTCCCTCACACTTTCAATGGCACTTTTACGGATTTTCAGGAACAGAATAACCTCAACTCGGTGGCCAATCTTGTCAACACCAACACCACGGAATAGAAGCGCTGAGCAACCGATTCATAAGTTCAAGCTCGAAGTGAAGTCCTAGCCCGCGCCTCGGTCGCTCAACTCTCGCCTCCCCAACGGCTGAAACCTGATCGGGACACTTGGACGAACCGTATGCATTCCATGCGCTTCCACAGATGTCGCTACTCATGCATGTGTGAATCCTTTACTTCATTCATTCAGCTGATGCTCTGGATCTAGAAGTACATACTAGAATTCGACTGTTGTGCTAATTTCGGGGTATCCTCACCCTTGACAATGGTTCGATTTATTCAGGTCGGCCGAGGATTTTCTCTTCCTGGATAACGTATTTCGTTCACTCTGTGTGCGCCTGTCGTATACCGTGAATACATCAGTGACACTCCCAACTGTTCAATGAATTTTGTTTAGGATCGTTTGCATATCCATCCCGTAATTATATTATTATTCTATCATACAGTATTTATTATATATTATTATTGCATTATATTTGTATGGACAGTTATGCCTTTGTAAAAGATTATTCATTTCTTCACTCAGAGTTCAGACACTTCACCTATGTATCCCTCTTCTCTGCTGTTCTAATCCTCATAATGATCCACTATACAGCTGATGACACCTTCTCTATGGAAATGGAACCTATATATAAGTACTGTATTTCGCAAGATATATTACGGTATTCCTATAAACATTTATAATAAACCCCCCAAAATGATCAAAATTCGTAAAATAATTCCTCTATATGTTAAGGCAAGATATGGATATGTGGAAGAATATTTGACTGTTCGAGGCATATGAATCCTGCTGGATCAATAATTTTCAGTATACTCATCATTACAATCGAGTACACGCCGTATTTACTTTTCTTTAATGATGGTCTCTGAAAATCAGTCGATCAATAATTTACAAACGAAATTTGTTGTGCCCGTTTGAAACATGTGTCTATTATTAAAAACAAAAATTATTTTAAGAATAGTAAAATTTGATAGAACGCCAGCATATTTGGAGCTGCTGCTTTCATGTACAGCTAGTATATTAATTTTAGGAACAAATGATGATGCACTCCAATTATAGAATGTGTATGCGCTCAAACAATACATGAGACCTTCTATGATGCTAATAATTAAGCGCACACTCAAGATTTCTAAAATTATTGGCTGAAATTTCTTGGTGCGATGCCTTCTGTAACATATACATCCATCAAAATCATAAGGAAAAAATAACTTTTGATGGTTGATCAGTGTCCCATAGAAAAAGAAAACTTTTTATTCCGACCAAAGGGTTGAAATAATTTCCACATAAAACGTCAAGGGATTTTGTTGCTTTCCAATTCAAGCAAAAACCTTCCAACCTCAAATAAGTTCTAAAGGCTGCATAATTTGCATAACTTCTTAAATAAAGACATGTTCAATTCATTTGTTTTGAAAGATCAATGACCAGCATCATGACAAGGTAACTACTGATAATTGAAAAAAAACTTAAAATGAACAAAACATCACTGAAACTCAATCCACAGAATATCGCTGACATTAAATAAACTCCAATGTTCTTCAGAAATGGCAAAAACTTGTGACCCGCAGTTTCTGCTGTGCAGTTGAATCCACTTTGCTGCAAAGTAGCATCCAAACTTTCCTTTGCAAAAGGATTAGCTCACTTCAAGATGAAACAATCTGCAAATTTGACATTGTAGAAAAAGGATGGTTGAGTTTTGTTTCATATATTGGAGCCAAATCCATTCAAAATGATTATTTTATCTCACCACTCTCAGTCTGCCCTCTTTCTTGACAATCAGGTCCAAGTGACCTTGACTAATGTCCACCATACCTTGCTTTCCTCCCCCAATGCTGTAAGTCAACCTATATAATATGTTTCAGTTGAAAAATAAAAGTAAAATTAAAAGAATATCCAAGTGAAGAATGTCTATATACTGTACATACGTTGCTGCTGACTCAATCTTCACAATACTATTGTCCCCTGCTGCCTCAGCAACATGAACAGCCAGTTCAATTAGGGTTCCTTCTGGGGCCTCCATTGCTACTTCAGCCTAAATGATTTACACATTGAAATAAATAAATATTAAATACCCCACATAAACAAAGCTGATTTCATGACAAATTATTGATGGCTGGTTATCAAACTGGGATCAATGTGGTCTTTGGGAAATCATATACAGTCAACCCCCACACAACAGACCTCCTGCACAATAACAGACTGCCTCTGGAAGCAGTTTTGCCTCCCACACAACAGACTGCATCTGCATAATAGACTTATGTTGGTTTAAAATTATGATGGTACAAATCAGAATTTAAAAATTTTTATAAATAATAGAATTTGCATAACAGACTTTCCACACAACAGACTAGTATATTACACAAATTAAGTCCATTGTTTGGGGGTTGACTGTACTGTACTTCACTATTTATTTTTTGGCTCATAGTTACCTTTTCCTTCTTATTGCTTTCCTGCACAGTGGGTCGCAAAATGAAAAGGTTATCCTTCTTGTTGGTGACAGTGAAGCCTTTCAAAGAGCTCAAAAGAATCCGCTGTTTCATTTTCATCTCTTTGGCATCAAGGATGTACAGGGACCCAGTGGTGAGGACCAAGACCCTCTCCCTCTTCTTCAATCCATGTCTGTCATACTTGGATACTGACAAGCAGTACTGGAATCACAGGAAGAAATCAAAGGATTTTCTGATACTGTATAAAACCATGTACAACATTGATGATGATGGCTGATACATACCAAAGTTTTCTCATTGGCCCTTTGTACAACAGCATCAAACATTGTTTTCCTCTGGTTCTCCAGTTCAGGTGTTAACCTGCTGTCCTGGAACACAACTGGAATACTGGCTTTGTAACTCTGCTTCTTATCTATACATATAGAGCAGGGTATGATACTGTACATGAGAAACTGAGCAAATTAAAATTCCATTTTATCAATACAGGTAATAAGTCAAAATGTTTGATGAAGGTATAGAACGTGCCTTTAAAGAGCTCTTCAGCTCTGACTTTCCTCAACAGCAGCTTCTTCCTTTGTGGGGTCAGTCCGCGGATGTACCTCCTGACAAGAATCCTCAAGTGAATTTTGCGCAGAATTTCAGAGGCCTGTCACACAAAAAAAAACAACAATAGATATGAACAATTTTCAGAAAAATAGGTATTATTCATGCTAATGCTTCCACAGGACATAGCTACAGTATTATTAAAATTACTTTCAATTTTTCTGCAAAACCAGTGATGGCTTTTCAATTTTTCCATGCTTGTCCAAGGACAGAAATATGGGGAAAGGAGTGCCAATCCAGAAAGAGGACCAGTAAATTTTAAATTTCTGTAAGTTGAACAATCTAGAATGTTTGTCTACCAGATAAGAAGAATTGAATGCAAAAATGCGCATGCTAAAAATTTTGAAGGGACTGTCAGGGGCTTTTAAGCCTCTCAGACAAAGATTTGATTTTCACTTATGGTCAGTGAAAGAAAGGTATAACACAATCAGCCGTTTGCGGCCTGAGGTCAATACCTCAACTTCAAGTTTGATTATATTCAGTAAATGTCCAAAGTTCAATAATTCAGCACACACAAATTTAGCTCCTTCTTCAGTCAAGTCTGGATTGATTCTGGCTGCTCCTGAGAGGGGTTTATGAAGAGGTGCAGGTCCTCATTAGTGGAAAGTTATAAGTTCCGAAAGGTGACTACACATAGACTAAGGTGTGCACACAGAATTCCTCATCATTCCTTTTGATCACCAGGGCTGATTCATCAGTTGAATAGGCCCTGGAGATCAATATCTCCAAGGCTGGTTCTTTTTGCTAGATTTCCTTGGAATCTTGTTTTTTTGATTTTGGTTGGAAATTCATGTTTCATAACTGGTTTTATGTAATCATCTTCTGGAAGAAGATGGATTAATTTTTCTGGAATATTGAGACGACGTGGCGTTTTGTACGCTGCGTCGATCTTTTCTTCTTCTGTTTGTACTCCTGACTCGGGCGACATCTAGTCGTTCCGAGAAAAGCGGCGTGTCAGCGGGCGACATCTGTTTGACCCGTGACAAAACCCCCCTTGGTCTTTGCTATTGTGCCTCCAGGTGGCAGGATAGGTAAGACCAATCCGACTGGTCGGGGTCTCGGGAAGAACAATGGCGGCGCGCTTGCGCTGGTTACCAGAAAGTTCTGGTTTGTTCGGAGTATTGCGCAGATGCGCGTCGAAGATGATTTCGCGTGAATCATCCGTCGAGTTTTTTGCAGAAGGGTCGAGAACCTTCTAGAATATGCTGTTTCTTGAGTCATGCACAGGGAGTGGTACCCTGGTGTGACTGACAAAGGTGTCCTGTTGTCGGGTGACGGGCGCAGTCACGCGTAGAACGCTGTATCAGCAAATTGGATTTGTCAAGTGTGATTGACATGTTGTATTTTTTTTTTTGTGGACTTGTCACTTTTGGCATCGAGGTGAAGTCATCATTGTTTTGAGAGATGGTTGGCTATCATCCCGATGTTGAAGTGGTCTGCAAGTCCTTTGTGTTTGAAAAGTTTTGAGTGACAAGTTTTTTGGTGAAGATTGTTGATGGTGGTTGATTGACTCGCATGGATCCGCATTTCCCGTATATTTGAGCAGCGGGAGGTGCGGATCCATGTCAAAGTTATCTTTCTCCTGTTGTCGTTGGAAGGTGAAGTTCTTTGTTTGAAAAGTGTTTGAATGCTGTTTGGAAAGGAGGTGCTGATTTTCCGGTGCATTAACTGGCGTGGATCCGCATTTCCCCGCATCTTTTGTAAAGCGGGAGGTGCGGATCCATGTCTAGGTAGTGCATTTGCTTCCGTCAGAAAAGGTATTGAATGAAGGTATTGACCTGGCGAAATGAATTGTTAGTGAAATGTTCGGAATGTCTTTTTTGCACATGTTTTTCGTGACTGACATGCTTTTTTTTTCGAAGCATGTGCCGCATCTCCTGTGTGATCAGGACAGGGGATGCGCACACGCTTGGAAGGCATGCGTCAAGCCTAAGGTTTTTGTATTTTTGATTTCCTGTGCTCTCTTTGCTTTTTTTGTTTTTTTTTGAATGAATTTATGTCCAGCAAGGAGGGGAGTCTACTCCTTGCGCATGCAATCTTGGAAGGAACTAAGTTTTAGATTAATCGCGTAAGAAAGAGAGACGTTTCTTTCTGCACGAAAGTGTCTGAAGTTTTATTCTTTTGCCGATTTAGGATAACAGTAATCATCTTCTGGAAGAAGATGGATTTATTTTTCTGGAATATTGAGACAACGTGGCGTTTTGTACACTACGTCGATCTTTTCTTCTTCTGTTTGTACTCCTGACTCGGGCGACATCTAGTCATCCCGAGAAAAGCGGCGTGTCAGCAGGCAACATCTGTTCAACCCGTGACAAAACCCCCCTTGGTCTTTGCTATTGTGCCACCAGGTGGCAGGATAGGTAAGACCAATCCGACTGGTCGGGGTCTCGGGAAGAACGATGGCAGCGCGCTTGCGCCGGTTACCAGAAAGTTCTGGTTTGTTCCGAGTATTGCGCAGATGCGCGTAGAAGATGATTTCGCATGAATCATCCGTCGAGTTTTTTGCAGAAGGGTCGAGAACCTTCTAGAATTCGTTATTTCTTGAGTCATGCACAGGGAGTGGTACCCTGGTGTGACTGACAAAAGTGTCCTGTTGTCGGGTGACGGGCGCAGTCACGCGTAGAATGCCGTATTGGCTGATTGGATTTGTCAAGTGTGATTGACATGTTGTGTTTTTTTTTTTTTTGTGGACTTGTCACTTTTGGCATCAAGGTGAAGTCATCATTGTTTGAGAGATGGTTGGCTATCATCACGATGTCGAAGTGTTCTGCAAGTCCTTTGTGTTTGAAAAGTGTTGAGTGACAAGTTTTTTGGTGAAGATTGTTGATGGTGGTTGATTGACTTGCATGGATCCGCATTTCCCGTATATTTGAGCAGCGGGAGGTGCGAATCCATGTCAAAGTTATCTTTCTCCTGTCGTCGTTGGAAGGTGAAGTTCTTTGTTTAAAAAGTGTTTGAATGCTGTTTGGAAAGGAGGTGCTGATTTTCCGGTGCATTAACTGGCGTGGATCCGCATTTCCCCGCATCTTTTGTAAAGCGGGAGGTGCGGATCCATGTCTAGGTAGTGCATATACTTCCATCAGAAAAGGTATTGAATGAAGGTATTGACCTGGCAAAATGAATTGTTAGTGAAATGTTTGGAATGTCTTTTTTGCACATGTTTTTTGTGACTGACGTGTTTTTTCAAAGCATGTGCTGCATCTCCTGTGTGATCAGGACAGGGGATGCGCACACGCTTGGAAGGCATGCGTCAAGCCTAAGGTTTTTGTATTTTTGATTTCCTGTGCTCTCTTTGCTTTTTTTTTTTGAATGAATTTATGTCCAGCAAGGAGGGGAGTCTACTCCTTGCGCATGTGGGGTGGAATTTTTACATCACCCAACATCGGGAATGACCGATTCGCATGCCATCTGAGGGCAAGGGAGGAATGACCTCCGTTGCTGACGGTGATTGACCGAAATCCGCAGATGATTTTTTGCATATTGAAATGTTTCCTGAAGGAGAGGGGGGATTGTTGACCCCTTTTTTTTTTTTGATGATTGTTTGAAACTGAATCCGCCCAGAGGGATGAACGACTCTGGGATCGGTATTGACCGGTCCTCCCGAGAGGGATGTCTTCTCTGGGTTTGGCAATCCGATCAATGCGTGTGGGGAGGATTAATTCATCTCCCATAAATCGGTATTGACCGACACACGCCTTCGCAGACAAGAGAGGAATGACCTCCTCTTGTTCGGTTGGTTAGACCGATTTTGCGGGCGATCGAACTGAGGCATGACCTCGGTTCTCACCCATTTTTTCATTTTTGGGGTGTCGCAACAAGTGTGTATTGAGTGAGAGTGTCCCTCCTGGTTTGGTTGATTTGTTGTTTGTTTCTGAAGGGAGGAATGACCTCTCCTTGTCCTGGTAATGACCGGGTATTGTGCATAGCATGTTGGGGATCGTTGTTCGTATCCTCCTTCGTTATGCACCATGTTCTGACACTGAATTGTTTTTGTCCGCAGATCTCATTGTTTGTTTGAAGTGGTTTGAATGAAGCGGACACTCCGAGAAATGAGCGACGCCGATTCCATTGATAGAGGTGAGAAAAAGAAACATTTATTGTGCCCCAAATGAGACACTATTGACACTGTTTTTCATATTTTGCCTGTTTTTTTTTGCAGAGGGTGCCGAGCTGAGTAGCGGCGTTTTGGACGAGGGCAATGGTCCGCTGGAAGAGGAAGTGGTTGCTGGACCTTTGTCGTCCAAGCAACGTCGGATCGACGATCCCCGCGTGCTTGTGCTGCCAGAGGGCGGCGAAGACTTGGTCCCATCTTTGTCACAGTTGGACCTGGATTGTTGGCGTCATTTACACTTGTTTGTTCCGGCGGTTGATACGGCAGCGTGCACCAAAGTCACGCGTTGTGGCGCAGAGAGAGATGCTGCAACCGAGGAGGAAGAACTGGAGTTGGCAGAAGCCAAGTTGCAGTCTATGCGTGATCGTGCCGCAGTCGTTGATGTGGAATGCCAGGAACTTGGCAAGCAAATTGCAGCCGATGAAAATCGGATTAAGCAGAGCTACGCCTTGAAGGCGGCAACCGAGGCCTGCCTAAAGGAGGCTTTTGATGCTTGTTTGGCTGTGGACGAGACACACCTTCGGTCAGTGTTTGTGAACGGAGGACGGTTGATGTTTCCCGTTCCTCAGAGTCGTGGCGAAATGAATGGTATGTATGACCTCGACATAATGTATTTATACACTTTTGTATTGGTTGGGTTTTGTTTGGATTTGTTTGAAAATCAGGTGGCGTCAAAATTTATGACATTGCTGGGATGCCGCCTTTGTCCTTTTTGTTTGGAACTGTGCCGGATCTTTGTCAGCTCTGGCTTGCTGAGAGTACTTTGGGTCGTGCGCCAGCACCGGCCGCTGTGTCTCCTGGACCAGATCCAGTGAGCATGTCTGCTTTACAAGCAGTATTGCTCAAGTGTGGAGAAATGGGCGCACAAGCTCGCTCTTCGTCGGCTTCAAGCCAGGCGCCTTCAACTGGTCACGAAGAGGCAAGTCGGGCTCCTTCCGTCATGGAAGTAGACCAAGATGTTTTTGCCGGGGAGGATCCGGCTGTTTCGACACTGGCGTCTGGAGCGCCTTTAATGAAGATTTTTTCCTCCTTCCGTAAGTTTTTTAGAAAATGGTTTTGGGGATACATCTGTTTGTATATGTCCTGTTATCTTTTGACACCAGGTCCGCGAGTACGAGGCTGGTGGGAGTATGACCCCGAGGATTTTGAGTCATACATCTCCAACGTTGGTCGTCGAATGAGGATCACTGAGAGTGTGGTCCCGAAGTTTCGGGTGCAACACGTCCCTACGCCGGGTACCGCAGTTCAAGACCTGGAGTACCATCATATTTGTCGGCCTGTTCGTGGGGAAAAGAACAAAGGTCGTCCTGGAGTGGCCCAAGTGGGCTTGTTTGGAGACTCTCTACTTTGCCCTTGGACCATCACATGGGACGCCTTTTTAACCCGTGTTGGCGGTGGCGGAGATGACATTTTCCCCGCATTTGACTTCACGCATCTCACCAAGGATTTGCCGCATGATATCTACCAGGTATATATTTCTGGAACTGATTGGTTGAATAAATGGATAATTTGCTGATTTTTTGTGTCCATGTTTGCAGTATGGGGTCAGCGGTGTGAGTGCTGTTGCGGGGTCGGTATACAATCGTTGGTCACCGGCTACTGTGTTTGATTGGATGTACACCGATCTTAACTTGTGCAAGAAAGAGTTTCAATTTACGCATCTCTGCGTGAGAATTGGAACCAATGATATCAAATCATTGTGCACGGTGACCAGTCCCAGCCGTATCAACTCGTTCTTCACCTTTTATGAAAGGCTGAAGTCCTATTTTGTTGAGTTGTCCAGGGTATTTAAATGCCCTGTGTTTGTATTCGGCGCC